TGTTTACAGTTTTAAAGAAGGCCAAACAGCAAACACAAATAGGGCTAAACCGATGCGCAAAAATGGCCCTAAATGTGAGATAAAGAAGCAAGTCACAGTTTCTGGCCTCAAACAGTTGAGGGCCCTCAACAATGTTGAAGAGGGGCCCAAAATATGATATTTTACAGTTTATTACCGAGCCAAAAACAGTGCACAAGCATGCCCAAAATACTATGCAAGACAAGGCCAAAAAGAGAGTTATAACACAAAGTACAAAGAGGATGCCTCAAAAAGTAAAATACCCTTAATGAAACATGAAGAGGGGGTCAAAATAAGACTATTTTCAGTTCGGACCAGAGTCCAAAAACAGAAGCAAAAGAGGCTAACAAATCATGCAAAAATGGAGCCAAAAAAGGGATATAAAGGCAAGTGGTAAATTAAAGCCTCAAACAGCAATTATCCCTTCAACAATGTTGAAGAAGGGCTCAAAAGAAGCTACTTTTCAGTTCATGACAGAGCTCAAAACAGTTTATACATAGGCCAAAAATACTACACAAGAAAATGGCATACAAGGGAGATAGTGAAGCAAGTGCAACAAGGAGACCTCAAACAGGTAAATACCCTTAAACAAACATGAAATATAGTTCAAAATAAGCCTAGCCCCAGTTAGGTTCGGAGCCCAAAAATATAAGCATGTATGGCTTATAAATAAATCAAGAAAAGGCTAGAAAAGGGAAAAAAGGAAGCTCACCCTTGAAGACTATGCCTTTGACAACTTTTGGACCAAAATGCAGCACTCCTAGGCTCTGAAAAACAACCTCAAGCTACTGGAATGGAGGATGGAAGGGTGGGGCTATGGGTTGGTGAAGAAATGGGTGTAGGACTTGAGAGGTTTGAAGCTTGGAAGTGTAGAGGGATAGAGATACAATACAAGGGGCTTAAGGAAAATTTTTGTAACCCTCCAACCAGCAGCTGGAGCTGCTGTTATATAGACAAAAGAGGGGAAAAAAAGGGGGGGGGGGAAATGGAGGGAGATGAATCAAGTTTCCCCCCAAAAGGGCCAAACCCTCGGACATGGGCGAAGTGTAAAACAAAATACATGGCTAGAATGTACTTGGGACAAGGATCATGGCTGGCTAGTTTAAATGGGCAAAAAAAATCATTTCACCAGCTAGGTGGCCGGCCTGCTAGATTTTCTGGCCGGCCAGCTACTTTCAGGACAAAAAAAATGGGCTGCCGGAAAGAAAAGTGGCCGGTGGGTGATTGGGAAGTCCAATTGTGGCCATTCAAGTGTCCAAATTGAATCCCCGGAAGTTATCTTTCCAATGGCGCAAACCTTACATTAAAATTCCTCCTGTGAAAAACGTTATGCCAGTTTCCGTAAAGCCGCGCAGATTCGGTCCCAACCGGAGTGATGCCCTACTTCAATCAACTATATCTCCCTCGTCCGGAATTGGATTTAGGAGATTCTTGAGTGAAAAATGAAGCCCCGGAAGTATTATTTCCAACGGTGGTGGCCTCATAGCTTGATTCCAAGTGTGCAAATGAATAGGCCCGATTTGGCGAGGGCTGCTCGACTCTTTCTTAACGGTTCATGCCCATTTTCTCCCCCAACTGGATTTCTTCCCTCTTCTCCTCTTTTCTTCAACTTCAAACCCCTAAGCAAGGTGTTTTGAAATATTTTTTCAAAGATTTCATCTCTCTTTCATTCTTTTCCACTTTGCCCTTGCTCGGTTTACCGAAAAGTGCAACATTTGACAAAATGCGAGCCTCGGAACATCGTAAAAACTTTATTTCAAAAACGTTTTGAAAGAGAGGGTTTTACGGCTAAAATCTTTTGATCAAGATTGTTTTGGTCCAAAAAGGGGTATGAAGTTGAGCTTTGACTCTCTCCTTGCTGAAGAAATTGAACCTTTGCCCTGCACATCTTCCAAAACCATCAGTCGCGTTCGAGTCTTAAAGGCGGTCAAAAATGGGGTGTCTACACATTCCTATGAAATTCATTCACAAAATTAACGACCTCACCCTTCATGACCTTCCAAAACTTCTGAAAGCACAACATATTAAAGCCATCAGGTCCGGGTGCTTTATTACTAATTGAATCTCTGCTTCTGAAAATTCTGTTTCTAACAGATCAAACCTCACTCTACCATCTGCTAATGGAAAATGACCTCCCAATCCCGGTCTTACTGGCCAGAGTTTTGTATACTGGTTTTTAAAGTATTCCAACACCTTGTTCATCACTTGCCTCGGCTCTTTATACACCGTGTCCCCTTCTGTAATGGAATGTAATTCATTTCTTATTGTTCTGCACTTTGTGACTACATGAAAAAACCTTGTATTCTTGTCCCCTTTCATCGCCCAATTAAGCCTAGACTTTTGCAGCCATAGCCACTCCACCATCCTACTTAATCTCCACATTTCAGCTCTAACTTCACTTCTCCTTCCTTTTTCATCACCATCAAGGTCTCTAACCTCAGCTAGTAGATCAATTCTGTGAAGTTCAGCCTCTACAGTCTTCAATTTGTTTACAACATTACCAAAAACCTCCACATTCCAACTTTTCAGGCCACTTTTCAAGATCTTTAACTTCTGAATAAGAATAAAACCAGCCCAACCTTTAACCCTGGACTCCTTCCACTTTGACTTCCAGAAACTCTGAAAATTTTTATGCAAAAACCAAGCATTTAGGACCCTAAAGGGCTTTGGACCCCAGTCCCTCTCATCATCCATCATAAGAAGAGGGCAGTGATCAGAGACCAGTCTTGGTAAACTCTATAGCTTCAGGTTAAAAATCTCAAGCTGTTTAGGATCTACAAAAATTTGATCAATTTTGCTCCACTTTTCCCCACCAAATGAATTGCACCAAGTGAATCTCCTCCCAAGTAGTGGTAAATCAGATACCTCACACTTGTCAATGAACTCATTAAATTCTTTCATTCCCCTATCTCTCCTAGAGCATCCTCTCATATCCCCAATCTGCCTAATCTCATTGAAATCTCCACATAAGCACCAAGGATTATGGAATTCCTCCTTCAATTTCAATAGACAGTCCCACAGATTCCCTCTTGAGCCCACATCATTAAGAGCATAAATATTTAGAATAGCACAATTAAATTGGTTAAAGAGGGTACCTGATAATAAGATAAATCTTCTATTGCTACAACAATCTGTTAGTTGGAAGACATCTGGGTCCCATATACACAGTAAACCCCCAGCAGAGCCTACAGCATCCACCACCATAAACTCCATTTTGACTCTGACCCACACAGATCTAACTTCATCTTCTGTTAATTCTGCCTTTTAGTTTCTTGGAACAACACAATATCTATATTCCTCTCCTTTAGGAGCTTCTTTACTTTGCCTCTCTTCTCCTTCCTCCCCAACCCTCTAACATTCCATGAAAGAATCTTCATAAATAACCATGAGAACTGTAATACAACCCCCCAGCTGGTGTCCATCAGACCCCATCTCTCACCCCCCCTTCAATTCGCTCCTTGTCCTTCAACTCAAGGTTCACAATTTTCTCTAACACAACAGCTCGCTTGCCATTGAACTGCACACCGAGAGTTTTCCCCATTTTGAGAGTTGCTTCGACTTCATTGAGGACGACCCTCCCCTTATCAGTTCCACCCTCCATTAATGCGGATAAGGACCTTGCCGCCACTACTGCCCGTCATACTGCAGCCCTGGGCATTGCTCTACTGGTTGAAGCCCTTTTGCTCCCATACTTCATCAACAGGTCAAAGGACTTTCTCCCCAGAAAAGTGTGGTTCGATTTCGTCATACTTCTTATCTTCTCCTTCCCCTTTCTAGGCCTTGAAAGACTGTTGCTGGGCTCCTTGTCATGGGCTTCAAAGAGGCTTGACACTCTCCCACCTGGCCCACCCTCAACAGCCTTATCTGTAGCAATTAACTCCTGTTGGTCCAAGACTGGAGCCACATCCGATCATAACATTGATGGGTCGATTTTAAGTCCACAATTAAATTAAGCCCACGGTCCATGTTATCAAGCCCAGGTAGAGTTTTAATCAATCCAGAAGTTTGAATTTCAACTTCACCATCATCAACGGCTCTCATCTTGGGACTTGCCAGCAGTCTTGCAGAGCTCTTCTGACATACGTAGCTGATTTCTTCTGACATGCCTTTCTGAAGATCTGATTCAGCCATCATCGAAGTGTCTCTGAGCTGGTCATCTTCCACCATTGTATTGCTGCTATCGTGTGCTTGCACTATTACATGATCAACCCTTTCTTCATGCTTACTCTCTCTATCTGCAATCTGATTGCCCACGTTTACAAGATTACTATTTATGATTCCACGAAGATGCTCTTTAGATGGATGGCTGAGACCGGGCATCTTCATATCTTGGATGATAATGATTTGTTCCTCGCACACCCTAACTAGGTAAAGGACGCCCTTGCATTCTAATCTGAGGGATTGATTAATAGGATCCATGAAGTTTGTCGCAATCTGCACTTTTCCACATTGGAAATGATTTAAATTGCGAGTACCTCATCCAGAGCAGTCACCATACCCCACATCTTACCAATGCTAATGAAGGTGTTGCAGCTCCAAAGGTTTAGTGGAACTCCATAGCAACTTAGCCAAACCTTCCGTTCTTGGGTAATTGACATCCCCTGTTTCCATTCGAGAACTGATTCACACCATTCATTTAGCCAGCTCTTCATTAACATAAGTTTTTCCTTCATAATCTCCTGAGATTGAAATGTTAGGACCAAATCTCTTCCACCACCTACCCTTACTTGAACTTCCCTCAGATCTCTTCTTGCTATTTCTTCCTTGAAGTCTTCCACAGCGTAGATTGGTTTCAACCTGGCTATGACACTCTCATATAGCCATCCATTACCTTCCTCATAGGCTTTGATAATGCAGGAGGAGTTATATCCTGATGCCTTGCCACTCACCACCTCCGCAAAAGATCTCTTACCTTGGTATCCCATAGGCGTTTTGTTGAGTTCCTCTGCAAACTTACTAGGCTGCATTGATGGACCAGCCGGCTATTTCGTGCCATCTTCCTTACTGTAATCTGCCTTTTTAACCTTTAAAGCTTTATCATCGCACCAAAGCCCATTGGCTTTATGAATAGCCATGTCTGGTCCAACAGGACAACTGTATCTAACAAAGCCAAACCGGGATCTCGTCATTTTCCTCAACTTGTTTGGAATGAAGGTATCAACCACAACCCCATAGTTGGAAAATATTGAGTACAACCCTTTCGCTCGCATGGTTTCGGGTAGATTATCCACGAAGACAGAGTGGATAGACCCATTCGTCCAGCTATTCCATACTTGTCTTCCGCCATGTCTTCGAATCACCGGCTGCCATCCTCCATCGCTTAGCTTTACCATTCCTAACTTTTCTATGTAATAATTCTTGTAATAAAAAAGCGAGATTCTCGGCTACAACTGCGAGACTTGATATAAAGAGTGTTAAAAATTGCTAGATGTTCCATAAGTTCTTAAGAAATCATCAATTTTTGTTAAGTTACATTAAAAGAAAATACATTGGCTTGTTAGGGTTTCTTCTTGTCACAAACAAAAAATTACAGTAGGGTTACCATTACTGCATTAATCATTTCTAGGATGTTGAATATATTTTAGAGAAAAAATTACATTAAATTAGCTAATTCTATTGCCTGTGATTTAAATTCAATAGATAGAATTCAATAGATGGACCAACCATTATTGCAATTTGCATCATAACCAAAATAATCAAAATATTTATAATTAGATTTATGTAATTTCAATTTCATCAATTTATATATTACACTTTCAATTGTTTTTTTTACAATGTGGTCTCTTTGTCAAAGGGACCAGAATAGATTGCAAAGAATTATTGGGATCATCAGTGTAAGTTATTTATTTTTCTTTCTTGTGCGGGAATTGCTAAAAATTCCCGCATGTGTTGCATGTGGCCTACACATTAAAATGTAATTGGAAGTAAGGTTTAAACTGATAAAATTTGAAACTACAATAATCGAAGTAAATTTTGACTTAAATTGGAAATACCAACAATGTAACTTTTATTTTTATTTTTTCAAGAATATTAGAATGAAAGAGAGTGTAATTTGTGTCACCACTTCACCATTTGACCTTCCCTTGATAGCTAGTCCAACAACTAGATTACCCTAATCCTAATTAAACCTACATAATCCAATTCTTGTTTTTTGTTTTCTTGAAATCTATATATGGTTTGTAACTCTTTACTCTCCATAACAAGTACATAGAAAACTTGTTATCTCTCTCTCTCTCTCTCTATAAAACGTGTTATTTCTCTTTCTAAAAAATGAGAGATGACTATAATCTTCTATCTTTATTGATTACTCACTATTTGTTTTTTATCGACAGAAATCAATTGTTAATTATTAGATTAGCACTCTGGGAGAGTTGAACCCCCAACCTCACACTTGCAAGTACCCAAGTACTGCACCCTTGCCATTAGGCCACAAGGCCGTCAGTGATTGCTCATCAATTTGTTTTAATGTATCAATAGATCATGCTAGTTCAATTGTGTCAACGTTAAAATATTAAATAAATCAAATAAAATTAAATGGTTAGTATATTATGTTATAATATCTTCAAATTGTATTTCAAATTAAAAATATTTTTGTTATATTATTTTATTGAATTTATATTAAAAAAATACATGATATGACATTTAGGGGGACGGTATAATAAATTTAAAGGCTTAGTCCACCATGATTCTCCTAAGGATTTAGTCCTAAGGGGGAGGTCATTGATTCAATTCTCCTTAAGGGAAAGTTGAATTAAGGAGGCAAGCACTTGATGCCTTACAAAAGTAAAGAGGCTAACTCTTATAGATGCTAATCTAACAAGTAGCTGAAGAAATAATGAAACCCTCAATTCTTTATTCAATGAATGTATTGTAGCTACATTATTGTTTATATAGACACTGTATAATAACTGTCTAACAATCTAACAAATTATCTAACAAACTTGTAACTAATTCTCTAACTAATGTCTAACTCTAACCAATATCTAATATCACTAACAGAAAGATATAGGAATAAAGGCTAAGCTGGATCTAGAGCTTCAGTTGTGAGATAGGCTTGAGTGTTTATATGGTGGTGGCTCTGATGTCTTAGACTGTAGCAGCATGAGTTGTCACTTTAGTTGTTATTGTATATTCTTATCAAGCCCCTGCAAGCTGATGGAGGGCTAAAACTCCATAAGCTTGTCTTTGAGATGGAGAAACCGAGCTACGGATAAAGGCTTGGTGAATATATTAGCAATTTGATCAATGGTAGGGATGCACTGCAAAATGAGTTTCTTAGCAAGGACTTGATTACGGACGAAATGACAATCAACCTCGATATGCTTAGATCGAGAGTAAAACACAAGGTTGGAGGCTTAAGCAATAGCGGAGATATTATCACACCATAAAATAAAAAGGGTAGGAGGAATGATGGACAAATCAGTAAGGAGCATGCTGAGCCAAGAGAGCTCTGCGATAGTATGAGCTAAGGACTGTAGACGTCCCCGAACGTCCTGGGAGAGAAATCCCGTGCTGTTCATTGGGCTCACTATAGTTCAGGACTCAATGTCACGGTCCTGTATCTAATCTCGCAGAGTGCAATGCAAGACCGATGAAATCATCAAAGAGTCTAAATCTGGTAAATCGTTTTTGAAAACAGATTTTTTAAAAGATGTGCCAAACATGGACTGCTTTGCCAGATACAGAGTCGCCACCTAAATGTTTTATTTTGGAGAAATTTAGGAAATCCTGACTCGTTGCCTAAGGCCACGTGTCCGTCATCACCAAAGTTGCCTCGGCTCGGGAACTTGGGTACGATTGGGGAAGGTCACTTTGTGAGCACCCCCGCT